GCGCACAGCACCCCCACATGCTGTTGCTCTGCCTGGCGTCCATGTCTCGCCGAGGTGACATAGCACCACTGCAGGCCTCGCACTGCGTCGCAAGTGGAGCTGCCATCCCCTCGTATTGTCCTCGTGTGTTAAATGGCTTCGCGACACATCGTGCCGTCTCGTCCCAGCGTCTCTCATGCGCACTGTTGTGGCCGCTTGGGACGAAAGCAGGTGGGACCGAGCAACGCCCGAGTCAAATTCACCGCGCGTGGTCACTTCCTGAGCAATTACTCATGCCAGGCGCTAGTGTTGGAGCCCTACTACCGCCCCAGTCACCCTGGCCTTCAATTGAGCCCGGTCGTGCTTCAATTGGCCGTTTCCCCCTCCGCTGTGCATTAAGGCCGGAACCGGCCGCGACTGTGGATAGCTACCCGCTGCACCACCTCTCACCAATTCGCCTCCACCATGAGTTCTGCCTCGATCCCCTCCATCCCGTGCACACCCCCACTTCCACCGTCACTGCCTTCTCGGCGCCGCAGAAACGGTCGCGCCACCGCTGCCGTCGTGGAGCTTGCTATGCGCACGTGGCCAGACACAACCGGTCCGTCCCAACCAAACCTCCACCATAGCCACCACTAGGGTACGCTAGTGGTGCTTTAGGGTTAGCTATTGCTCATTGTAGTGACTTAGAGTGGCCGGCGTGGTTGTGCCGCCGTCGCGCATGGCCGCGCGCCGTGGCCACCATTGTCGTGAGTTCCGTTGTCCCTGTAATGTCGGCTAGGGTAGGCTCTTGGCTCGTAGGTGCTGTTCGGCTCGCTAGCTTGGGCGGGGAGAGGCTAGGTTGGCCGGCGTGACCACCCTATGCCAGCGCCGCCGCGCCGGTGCACTCACGGGTGGCCGAGGGTCTGGCCGCGGTGAAGATAGAATATTTCGAGGGTTATATTGCTTAGGTACTGACTGTAGGAACAGTATCACAGGTCTCAAGGTGATTCATTGGTAGGTCAAGGGGGTTTTTGCATGATTGACCGGCGCGCGCGGGCCTCCCCATCGCGGGCCATTGTCGCATAGCTGGGCCGCGCCCGTGTGGGCCATGTCGGTGGGTCACGCCTTGCATTGTGCAGGAGTGGGCCGAGCCACTCACGCGATGCGCCACGCGGTTGGATTCTGGTTTTTCATTTTTCTAGGGAATTAGTAAATGTTTATTCAATTTAGTTTTGAGCTGGTCTTTGTAAAATTATAGTAAATTCTGTAGGTGTCCAAAAATAGTGAAACAAAATTTGTTAAGTTCACAAAAATGCTATCTATCTGTTAGTGTAGATAGTTTACAATTATCTGTGATAATGATATATTCATTAATTTATTTAGGAAAGCTTAGTATTATTTAGCTTAATATTTGTAGGAGTTTTTGTGGCAAACTGGTGATAGATTTAGCCATGAAATTTTTATAGTAGGTTCATTAAATTATTATGCGCTCACTGTAAATTTTGTAGCCCTAGAGTAGGTTGATAAATAGAGTAGCTAGTACTCCTTGTTTTATCATATATAGAGTAAATCGATATTAAGAATAGGGATTCCTTTAGTTGCTAAGTTAATACATGAAATATTCATACCTGTTTAGTGGGAATGAGAGGTAACGTAGCATCTTAGTCGGTAGAGCTAGTTTAGTAGCTTGATAGATGTATTTTATTTTAAGAATTGTTGTTGCCGTATTATTAAGTGTTGCATCATCGTTTCATGCATGTAGATAACAAGTTGGTAGAGTTCGTGCCTGTGGACGAACAGGACTACGAGAACATCATTGAGGAGTATGAGGAGGAGATTCTCATATAGGAGGAAGCCCCAGAGCCATTAGTTACAAACTTTGTTGACACCCCGCCTACCCAAGGCAAGCCCCGGTGCATAACCCCTATTTTTTGAATGATCATGGAATATATATATGTGATATGCATTTATGTTACAGACATTTTATGGAAATTACATGAATAGATATACTTACCTATGAGTCCTACTAGTATAGGTCGAGTAGCTGCTATGCTCAGGATTTTGGTAGCGTGGGTAACCTGTCGTTACTCACAATAGGTGATTATTAAGATCACTCATGATAAAATGGTGGAAAGGAAAAATGGAGACCAGGCAGGGATATGGTTTGGGTATTGGTGGGTGTAAGAACTTGTGTCCTACGGCCAATAGGGCATAGCTTGGTTACACTTTTTTCCTGTCTGTGTCAGTTAAGGACCGGCCATTGCATTGGGTTCTAGGCAAGTCACAGACTTATTATCCCGAGCACATACTTGGTTATGGGCATAGGGAAGGCTTGTTGCTCTCTTGCCGTGGGTTCCAGCTCTCCCGTGGGGTGTGCCCGACAGAATCCGCCCGATGTAGCTCGCTCTTGGGGTGCTTAGTGTCTAGTGGAAGATAAGCGCCTCCGAAGGTGTGCTATTTCGGGCAGTTCTGCCATAGATAGAATATTAGAGGAATAATTTCTAAGTCATTCTTAATTACAAGTTAAAGCATACATTGATTAGTGCAATTACACCTAGTAGTCATGGCTAAGGTTATCTTTATATCTACACATAAGGGATATTACTAAGGAAGATTAAGAACATAGCTTGTTCTTCCTTCGTAACCGGACCCTACTTGCCCTATATTCGGGGAGTGGACTACAAAGGACTCAACGGGAGTGTCACATCCGCGATCTACCATATGACATAAAATATAGGGTGTATCCACAGGTAAACAACGTATAAGCACCACGCTTACACAATGTCGACCACCCACCCCATGTACTTCAGATTGAGCGCTATACGAACTTATGCATAAACATAATGATAAACTAGCTATACTAAGTATATAATCAAAGTAGACGTTGAATATTATAACGAAGAACATGAATAAGATGAATACTAATATTGTCATAACAATTGTAACAAGCATATAAAAATAATAGAGGTACAAATGAGAGGGGGTACAAAGATTATACCAAACCACGCCCTTGACACGATCGGGAATCCAAGCGAAGCTTGGTTGCCTCCCTCTAGACCTAGTCTAACTAGCTATGCCCTAAAATATGGTGAAGCTCTGAGGATGGTTAGGGTTTTTATCTTCTCAAATGAATTATGCAATATATGCCTCAGGGGGGTGGCAGGGGCTGGTATATATAGGCCGGAGCGTCCAACGTGAGCCCTTGGATCAAACCAACTTAAAGGACAGCGTAGATGTAAGCTAGGAGCCGGTGGAGAACCAACATAACAACGGGGGGCTGACAGGTGGGCCCCAGGGGCCGGCCGGCCCCACCTTGCGGCGTCTTGCCCTCCGCTTCGGTGTGAAGTCCTCTCGAGTCTTCTGGAAGCTTCTGATATCCGTTTCACTGTGGATAAGCGCAATTAAATCTGACATCTTGGTCCACCTTGACGATTTTCTTGATAAACCCTGCAAAAATATAGATTCACCAAAACTTGTGGAATTTGTTAGTTTAAACCCTTAGACCTTCGTTGGTGAGTATATTTATGTCATTATGTATGTTATATTGATGGTTTATAATGATTGTTAACTACCGTCAATAAACTCCCCCAAGCTTAACCTTTGCTAGTCCAATAGCAAAGCTAAATTTAGTAAATGGATTAGGAGTTGTGTCGATGCTTTCACTCCTTAAGAGTAGACAAGCGTTCAAATAAGAATTCTCCTTTGAATTGGAATAAACCGATCTGACTTTCAAACTTACCCATATTACCTTCAACCATGGGGCTTCTCAGCCTTCATTTGGGTCTTGAGCAATTGAAAGACAGAACGATCAAGTCAAGCACTATGTCTTAAGTTCTTTGCTTAACCATTATTTCAAAGTTTTTTTTATAGATTTTTAAAATAAAACTCAGAGCTTCCTTTGTATGACACGCTCAAGTCTCACAATATATGTGATATTTGTGGATCCTCATCAAGGCAAAAGTGATGTTATGCCTTTCTCTTTCTACAACTAAAGCTTATATAGAGCTTATAGGAGTGGAAAAAGCATGAAAGAGCATACTTGCAATACATATATTGTAAAGTTAAACCTCGGATTCAAAGAGAGTTGAGTCATACAATCAAATCAAGATGTGCATGTGTGTGGATGTATGGCGAATATATTTGGTGGCTAACCTAATTCTACTATGCTCTTTAAAAACATATCTCTCTTTTCAAACTTAAAAATAATTTTGTAAGAAAACATGGGCTATCTTATTCATCTTTTCTTCTTTTTTTTCGGGCGGACATCTAAGTACCCATTGTTATAAATGAAATTGAGACCCAAATACAAAGTTTGAGGACTAAAATGATCATATTCGTAGTCCTAGGATGAAATTTAGCGTAAAAGTAGAGTTTGAGGACTAAAACGGCTGTTTTGAAAGTTCAGGGATAAAACTGAGCCGTAAGTAATATTTGAGGGACCAAAATGGCTATTCTGCCGTGTTTTTTTGTTTTTCAGGGGTGTATCTTTATGTTGTCGAGTGGTGTATAGAGTATAGTACGGTGGTTGACCTACAGGTCAATGTGGCGAGCAATGGCTCGAACTTAATCCTGTAAAATTGCTTTTTTCTCCTTTTCCATCTAAAAAAATCGACAATACCTTTTGTCGCCTTTTGAAAAAAAACTTCCAAAAAATAAAATTTTTGTGCCACACCTTTTTTTGTTGGCACTTTTTTCCCGCGGCTTGGCTATGTCGCGCAAAACCCTTCCTCACTCGCGTGTATCCCATCGTCGTCGTCTCCTCCCTGCTGGTCGTGGCCACATCCTAGGTGGCCGAAGGCACTTTCTAGCCAGCCAGTGCCTCCTCCCCGCTATCGCACCCTCCACCAAGCCGGTCGTAGCGACCTCCTAGTCGGCCACAGCCACCTCCCAGCCGGCCTCTCAAGCATGCTGCACGTCATGGCACTGGCCGAGTCAGAGCTCTCCGGGGGCTAGCTCTGCGCAGCTCATAGGCACGCCCTCCACGCCTCTCGCCTGTACCATCCTGCTTGCATGCCTCGGTGGTGTTCACTGCCGCCAACATGCTCCTCACCGAAGCCTCCTCCCACCACGCCGTGCTCCTACTGCCCGAGCCCAATGACCCCAATGCCTCATTGCTCTCCGCCTCTGAGCTCCACCGCCACTTCAAGTTGCTCATCAAGGCCCTCCGCGTCGGCCCCGACTATGCCATCGACTACCCCTCCTCCGCCAACGTCGCCGAGGAGGCGCTCTGTCACGCCATCAAGGCCTATGATGCACTCACCGCCCTGCTGCTCGGGACCTTTTGGACTGCCTACGCCGGATGCCGCCTCTTCCACAAGTTCGAGCGCAAGTATGCAGAATACCGCCTCATCTGCCCCTCCTGTCACCGTACATTCCTCGCTGTCGAGGTCCCACCTTTGCCCTAGACATGTAGCAGTGGCGACGAAGATCCTCTCCCCTGGACATGTAGAACCGAAGTAGTGTTGTGGGCGCCGATATTTTCCCCTACAGTGTTGTGGGCGCCATCAACTCCCATACTAGACGAATACGATAAGGCTCCCCCCCACGTGCCTCTAGGGCATCAACAATGTTGTGGGCACCGACTTTTATTATACCAGGCGAACATGGTAAAACCCCTCACATGCCTCTAGGTATCAACAGTATGGCAGGCACCGACATCTGCCATACCAGAAGAAGACAACGCAACCTCCCACGTGCATCTGACATTCAACAGTATTGTGGGCACCGACCATCATCCTGTACCTGTCGGCGTGGGCAGCAAGACTTAGTAGCATACGTACTCTCTCCCTCTCACTTGTAAGGCCATCCCCTTCATCTATAAAAGGGGATGAACTCTCTCCAACATAGGCAGATTCATTCAGATCAGTCAAGTTCACTTAGCACATAGCAGAGCTCCTGTCACTCTTGGCCCCTCTGACCAGAGTCCGACCGGACCTCTTGTACCCCCCATCTTTCTCCTTCTCGTTTGTAACCCCACTGTAAACTTCAAGCACCTGGGCTCAGGAATAAAGTCACCGACCAACACAAACTGGACGTAGGGCACATTGCCTGAACTAGTATAAACCCTGTGTCATTTAGTGTTAGGCCACCTCCGATCACAACGTACGGCAAAACTACAAATATTTACGTCTTGGTCACTTTCTGCACCGACAGTAGTTTTTCACCAAAATCTCTATTCCTAATATTTATAAAGGATATGGAGAGTCTCTTGAAGATGGTCTTATGTGTCTTCCAAATTCCATCCAATCCAATTCCTAGTTATATTGTAGCATCCAATTTGGTTGGTCCTCAGTAAATTGTCCATTTCCTCTCTTCGTAATCTTGAGTGGTAAAATTCTAGTACTAGCTCTGTCCCTAAAAGAATGCAACTATGAGTTGCGTGCCACTTTGAGTGTTTCACGTTAGACCAAGTTTATAGTAAATAATATTTACATTCATGGCTCCAAATTAATTTATTATGAAAATACATTTGTAATTAATCTAATGATATTTATTTTATATTATATATGTGTATATTTTTTTATCTATAATTGGTCAAATTTGATATACTAAAACATGATATTATTCTAGAATTGCATTCTTTTGGGATGGTGAGAGTATTTGGCTAGGCTCTTCGCTACAATTTAAATTCTTTGATTTGATTGGGTGTGAATCCCTGGAGTCAACCGAAATCGGATGCTCTATTTTCCCGACACTGGACCACATGGTTTTTGGTAAGACAAATTATGGTATTTAACCAAAAAATAATTTGGAATGGAATGCAATGCTCCTTAAATGTCTTTTGTGTTCAAGAATGTCATAGAAAACACCAGTACATATTTCCTCAACAATGATACTAGAGTTGTATTCATTGCCTTTTCTTAAAGGTGGTTAGCGTCCATTAAACCAAATGCCATCACATGAAACTTGACCATTTGGAATGTTGTGCGAATTCCTCTCTTGGATGTAACAAAATTTGATGGTGGCCCACCATAAGATGCAAACTAGAGAACCATTGGGCGTGAGCTAACTCATCCAAAACAATCTTTAATAATGGGCATTTGGGTGTCTGATCTTGATTGTAATAACTAATAATAGCATTCAAGTGTTGAAAATCAACACAAAAGCATAGGCAGAGTCCTTTTTCCTCGCCAGTGGAACAAATAAAGAGGAGTTGAACAATAAAGAGTAAGAACTTGGTCGAATAATTCCAAACTTGAGTTTCATGAATCTGGCATTTAATATTGTCCTTGATCGCTAGAGGATAATGATAGGGGCGAACACTAACCTGAGTCACACAAGGAATCAAAGGAATCATGTGTCATGACAAGGTGGAAGCATATCCGACTTCTCAAACATAGTGGAGAACTCATCCAATAACTGTTATAAGAGAGTTTTACCAGTGTACCATTAAAAAAGATGGCCTTTTTTATAGGCCACTAAAAAGTTTGAGCGCACCCTGGTATCATGCATGTAAGCTTTTTTTTGCCTCCCAAACCATTCTGTCCACTTTCACTAGTAATGGTATCAAACGGTGCAAAATGTCTAAAATGCCATCGTGGATTTATATTCTCCTTTTCTTTCCTTCCTCATTTTTTTATTTTTTCTCTCTCCCTATCCAATCAACTGGGCAGCACGGATCCATGAGACTGTGACTCTATGTGCCTCATCCACGCCGCCGCCGCACTACACGTCGGAGAGGAGGCCGCGTGGTCGGGGGAGACGGCGGCGGTCCTCCGTGCATGGCGCAGCAGGACCGGCGCATCTAGGTGTGGCGGCAGCATGGGTCAGCGTCACCAGCTTCGACGCGTCCGCCATGCGCGAGTGCCCTTCGTCCCTGACCCTAGCGGCCTTGATAGCCCCGCTCTTGGACGGGTGACGACGAGCAGCCTGGCCTCCTCCTCGTACGTCCGGATGGCATGCTCCTGCCGGCGAGCGCACCAAGGGAGGCATAGATGCTGGAGCCTACGCCCCTGCCCGCCATGGCCCCGTGAGCTCCGGCCAACATGGCCGCACGGCCGTGTGCGCCCCTACCTACCATGGCCGCATGACCGCGTGCTCCCCAAGCCGCGTGTGCCCCTGCATGCCTCGCCCCGCGAGCTCTGACCACCTTGGTCGCGTGCGCCCCAGCCCGCCATGCCTGTTCATCACTACCACCGCACGGGTGCAAACCAGGTCTGAATCCAGGCTAGCCCTGGTCCCGGCCATGGCCGCCGCCCATGGTCATGAGCAGGCAAGCCACACTGGCCGTCGTCCCCACCATGGGCCCCATGGGCCCGTGTGGCCTGGCTGGTGGTAGCCGCCCTCCCCTCTCTGTTTCTAGCTTGGCACGGCCGATCAGAGGAAGAAGGTGTTGGAGTCGCTGACAGATTGGCTCCACCCAGAAGAGAGAAAGAAGTAGAGGATGGGGTTATGAGAGAAGGGCATTTTGGATTTTTTTTCACTGGTGGGGCCTGCATGTCAGGGCTGGCAAACGGTAAAAACTAGACGGAAGGTAGACGGAATGTCTTGGGAGGAAAAAAACTTACGTGCATGGTACTAGGGTGCAACCGAACTTTTTTGTGGCCTGTAGAAATGGGCCATCTTTTTTTGGGAGAATTGTCTGTTGGACATCTAAAGTGATGGTCCTTTGCTGGCGGACACCCACTTTGGAGCATTTTGCTAGAAGATACTCTGGTTCGATGAAATTAGGCCACAGGACACCGTGGACTAGTTGCAGCCGGTTGAGGAGAGAGAACAGCGGTGAAATGATATTCTTGCCTCTACGGTGGAGGAGCATGTCCCTGACCCTGATGAACACCCACCGCCAGGACCCTCGCACCGACGACGATGTGGCTGATGAGGAGGACAACGACGTGGAGGAGGACAAGGATGAGCGGGATGAGGCGGTGACTGGATTCGCGGCCTCCCCGTGCGTCCCCCTGGTCACGTCGGTGGCGGGGCCAGGGCCGAGATCCGGCGCTAGGACGAGCACATTGATCAGCTTAAGCCACGGCGACGCGCTGCGGAGCGGGGACATGGACCGCACACGGCGGTGCATGGACGCACTTCGAGGCATGAGGTGTACGCCTCCCTCTCCACCATTAGGCCCAGCCCAAGTGCCTCCTCCGCTTGGCCCAGGCCATAGCAGAGCACGCACATGCCCACGCCACATCCGCCACGTAGGCTCCACGTCGCCACTGTTGCGCCCAGGCACAAGGAGCATGGGAGCGCTGGCCTTCTCTGGCTATAAAAGGCCAGTCATGGTCGCTACCGAGGCCAAGCATGGGAGCGCCGTGCCCCGCTGCCGCCAGAGCACCTCGAGCTGAGGCCATGGTTGCCGAAGCTCAAAGCTCTCTGCCGCCGAGCCGTTCCACCCTTGCTCTTCTCGCCTTGCCTTACCTCCCCACAAGCCATGCCACCAGGGCCAAATCCCATCGCTGCCCAGCGCCCCTGTGCTCCGCTCTGCCTCTGTCTCTCTCGTGACCAGGCGAATGGGGAGGACGGACAGGAAGACTGAGGCTGCAGCATCCAAGGCCATCTGCCTAGGCACAAGACCATGTCGAGGCAACCAATAGGAGCAAGCCACCTCGCCCATAGGTTCACCTGTCATGGACTCAACTCTCTCTTCCCTTTCTTCTGTGGCTTCAGTCCACGTAGACCCCAGAGACAGAGAGAACTAGTCCACCGATCAGTGCGTGGGTGCACGGGCATAGTGCTGGTCCACCCGCCAGCTGACCAGGCCCATGTGTCAGCCTCATGGTGGGCAAGAATGTCATTTCACCACTGTTCTCTCTCCTCAACCGGCTGCAACCAGTCCGTGGTGTCCTGTGGCCTAATTTCACCGAACCAGAGTGTCTTCTGACAAAATGCTCTAAAGTGGGTGTCCGCTAGCAAAGGACCATCACTTTGGATGTCAAACAGACAATTGTCCCCTTTTTTAATGGTACACAGGTAATACCCTCATGTTATAAGGGTGGTGGAAGATTTAATAGAGCAGTGGACTCATGTATTATGAAAATGGATTAAATGATCTATCTAATGATACTTGTATTATAATAATTATTATTTCATGGTTGATCAAAATTGAATACGTTTAACATCTCAAGAGGAATGACAAATAAAAAGAAATGGAGTGGACTCTGGTCTTTCAAAAGTTTGACTTTTTGTGTCACGACAGACGACAGTGGACAGGCAGCGAAACAAAAGCTCCAAATTGTCTACAGCAATGTTTCAAAAAGAAACCTACAGTGTTGACCATACCCCTTCGGCCCTTCGTGTGCTCACTAAAATGCAAAAAGATTTGTAGGCCTACTTTGGCAGCAGGGGATCCCGGAGGGTTCCCGGTTGTTTCCCCGTGGAGGAAGTCCCCGTGGAAAATTTCCACGCACCTGCACTCTGACTTGTTTGGAAGCACGCGAATTAGGGGTCTTCGCCCCGTAGGAGC